AAACTATTAATACAATTTTCTTTCATTCAGTACGTACCCATAAATACATATAAATACACATAAATACACATTATAGACCCAATAATTCTTCATTCCTAGTTACCACGTACAAATGTTATTACAATGACATTTTTTATGATCACATGTTTTGAAAGTTTTATTACTTATAATACAAATATTAAAAATATATACTATTTTTAAAATAAAATTATTATAATTTAAAACATGAACTTTAAATCCATTTCGAAAATGAAACTGAACAATGTAATACCTAGATCAGGTAGAGATATTGTAGAATTTTAAAATTGTTCCAAGAGATGTACAGTTTCTATGGTATGACATACCAGCCCTCTATTAGTATAGATATGAATTAAATAGTTATTAAAATTTAAAAGTTTCTAAAAAGTAAAATTGCATTCATTTATAAATATTATTACATACCATATTAATTTTATTTCAACTTGTATACTTTAAAATATTTCAAATAAAGTTAAATAAAATGAACATGAACATAAAAAAATTAATGCTACATAATTTAATTAATAGTAATAGTTGTGTAGTTAAATAGTAACAAATAAATTTAGTATAATTTTAACACTCAAATAAATTACTTAATATTTAATGAATTCAATAATAACACCTTTCATATCAAATAGGATTTAAATAATAAATGTTTTGACCACGGTACTCCTTTTTACATATAATTTCCTCATTATTTTGTGGCAATTAAATATTGATTTATTTGTGCGGATATGACTTATATTGTAATCAAAATGTAGAGTTTATTAGAAATAAATGAGTTTTAAATAAATAAAAGTCACATAAAATCTTTTGTTAATAAATATCTGTGTTTCCAATGGTTTCTAAATGTGATAATTATTGTTATCAAAAACTATTGTAATTCACTATACATTCAGAAATATAATTTATTATATTAAAACCCCATTAAATAAATAAAGTGGTACTCAAATTAATTAATAGTTAAATTACCATGGTGAATATTATTGATATTTATTATTAAAATATATTTTAAAATTTATATCAGTACTAATTTAAGTATCAAACATTAGTTATATTATAAATGAATTTAAATCCAATATATGACCCGTTATTAAGTAGTAATGTTTTATATGAGTGAGTGGATAGTTATCACATATTTTCAATGACAACGCCTTTCATATCACTATTCATTTGGACTTCATTTTAGGTTTTGTTGAAAATAATTAACTGTTTTTTGGTTTTTAAAATTTTATTTTTTTGTTATTTCAATAAATATTGTAAATTATAATTGTGTTCAAAATGTGCGAACTTTTGGATAAGTTTCGCATTTGCGATACAATTGACGCGAATATTAAACACGAAATTAAATTATTTCATGTTTTCAATAGTTACCCGGATAAATATAAAAATATAATATTTGTGACAAACAATGACTCAGTTTATTGTATGGGAAGTAATTCCTTTGGGTGTCTGGGTTTGGGTCACAACAGTGAAGTGAAAACACCACAAATTATAACACAATTATGTAATCAAAAGATACAACAGTTTATTAATGGCTGGAACTTTGTGTTGGCTATCAATGACATGAATCATGTGTTCAGTGGGGGTTACAATGATTGCGGACAATTGGGTAGACGTACGGAAGGATTAGGTTTTGAAATCATATCGGAATTGAATGACAAGAATATGACACAAATATGTTGTGGTAGTCATCACTCCCTGGCCCTCACCACCAATGGACAGGTGTATGCGTGGGGTTATAATGGCTGGGGACAAATTGGGAATAATACAGATATTTCATCATGGACACCAGTATTGTTGGAATTTGAGAACAATTATAAAATCAAAAGTATTTTCTGTTTTGATTATAAATCATTTGCCATTACTGTCGAGGGTTTGGTATTCAGTTGGGGTGACAATGTGTATGGTCAATTAGGGTATACATCAAATGACATCAATTCATTGTCACCCAAATTGATCCCAAATCTTAATGATATTAAATCAATCAGTGCATCACATACTGTGTACAACAGGATTACGTGTTTTCTATCGAATAATAATATAATATATATTTGTGGCGAATATGAGGATGATATGAAACAATGGCAAACAATAAGTACCCCGATACAAATGTCATTGAACTTAAACGTTCTACAATTTAATCAGCTTCACTCGCGTGAAAATAGCTTTCGATTAATAATAAAAGCTGACGATTATATTCATGAAATGATATCCCCGCATGAAGTTAAACGATATAATTACAATAATTTTGTTGATTATTACGCCAATGAGCAACAAATTACTTATAATACATTAAATTGTATCAATTCTGATACAAATGACAATTCAAGTAAAGGTATAGTTATTTTATAGATTATTGCATAATAAACTAAACTCTTATTACATAAGATTATCATTAATTTATTTTTTGTGTTTAATACCAAATATATCGACTTATATATCAATTTAGGGTTCATTTCACACGCTTTCGACTGTTATGTCGTACTAAAGATTAAGCAATAATAAATAGTTTACTAATAATATTATGTAATTGTGTTTATATTTTAGTACCAAAAGTGGGAAACAATTTATTTGAAAGCCATTACCAAAACCTTTTCGAGGAGTTGTCGGCAATAGGATCGGGAGGTTTTGGGACTGTATTTAAAGTGAAGCATAGATTCGATGAACACATATATGCCGTCAAAAGAATTGAATTTAAAAGTAAATATAAAATAGTTATAATATATTCATTAGAAGAATTTATAATAATTATAATATTCCTCAGAATTTAGCGATGAATATATGAAACAAATTTTGATGGAAGTGAAGAATTTAAGAAAACTTAATCCAGATTTTGTGGTCCAATATATCACTTCATGGTCTGAAAGCAAACACCTCTACATTCAGATGGAGTTCTGTTCACAGAATTTACGGAATATTCTCGAAATTAAACCAAAAGTATTTGACAGACAATCGGGAGATCCCATGAATTGTGTCGAGTATTTCATTTCGTGTGAAATATTCCGTCAGATCTTAGAAAGTGTTCAGTATTTGCATGAATTGAATCCAAAGATCATTCACAGAGACCTCAAACCCGACAATATATTGATAGATGTCAACGGCAGGAACGGCAGGTTTATTAAGTTATGTGACTTTGGTTTGGCTACAGATCACGACAAAGACATTAATTATAAAACTTACAAAAAGCACACCTCAGGGGTGGGAACCATGAGATATATGGCACCCGAAGTACTTCAGGGCTATAAATATAACCACAAATCGGATGTCTATTGTCTCGCAATAATTGGTTCAGAAGTATTGGATTTCGACTTATTTTTGATTGACTTAAATGAGTATAACTTTAATACAAATGTTGTGTTTATTTCATTACAACTTTCATATAATTAATAGTTTACAACACTATTCACAAAGGGATGACATACTGAACGCACCGGTAGTTAAATTGAAGCGAATTCTGGTGTCAATGGCTTCGACCCCAACATTCAGTCAACGGCCCGACTGTTCACAAGTACTGCGAGAATACAGCGAATGGTCTCTCGATCGCAATATTCTGAGGAAAAGGGAATTCCGGATAATATTAGAGAGACTTATATCACATGAAAACACATTTTTCTATCAATTTGTGTCCAATTATTTGAAACCATAATTGCATTTATAATAATTGTCAATCAAATCATTATGTGACAGCTAGCATATTTTGTCATCATAGTACAATACATTATTTAACTGACAAAATAAAAACATTAAATTCATTAATTAATAATATTGTATCAAGTAAAAATTGTAAAGGGATAGACAAGTACAATTGTACTGACAAGTGAGATTATAAGCAGGATGAATGTTGTATTTCTGGAGATACAAAATAAAAACATTAAATTCATTAATTAATAATATTGTATCAAGTAAAAATTGTAAAGGGATAGACAAGTACAATTGTACTGACAAGTGAGATTATAAGCAGGATGAATGTTGTATTTCTGGAGATCAATACTTATAATAATATTTAAAGGTCTAAGTTTTTGGTTATTTATTGGCTATTAATCGCATTTGTGATGGCTATATTTGTTTATATCGTATTATATCCAAGTATTATGTTATTAATCAGGCTTTTAATCATATTAATAGCCATTGAATTTGGACTGACCCTGCTGTTTATAGTACATATATCGACTGAACTGAATAACCAATCGATAATCACTTATAAGTTATTCAATTCAGATTTCGCGAGAAATACACGATTACCGTATGGCTTAAAAATTAACGTATTATAATATTATATAATATAAAGCTGTAAAATGTAATTTAATATATTTTTTATTGACTTATAGTTGATGTCTTTGTCGGAAAGGTTGGGCACAAAAAGGGTTGGTTTTTACTGTTGGAAACTATTCCTAATCAATAGATTCAGAGGATATGAGGTATAGTATGCATTCATATAATAATTAATGGTAGGTGTATGGAATAAGTTTTTTAAACCTGAAAAATAATTGACCACCCTTAATATACAGAATCTATACTTATTTAGTAATGTGTTGACTGAATGTTTAATTCAACTTAAATACTCATTATGTTTCAAATTTTATTTTATTATATAATTCATTTTTAATATAATCTATATTATAACTAGGAATGAAAAAAAGTATGTATGCATTAAATGAATGACCCATTAAATATTATAAAATATTAGTTATTTTAAAAAATAATAGCTTTTGTCAGAATATTTTTAATGCATTGAAAATTCATTTTAATTTTATATACTCATACCTTGATTCATTTAACATGATAGGATTTCTGTGAGGCATAACAATCTCTGAATAATAAACTTAAATATTTTATCTGAAAACTACAGTATGTGTCATTATTTTCTATGTTTGTACTAATTTTGAATCATTAATAATGAATATTTTTATAAAATAAAATAAATTAAATTCACTTGATGCGATTTTTACAAACAAAAATTATTGCTAATAGATTACTTGTAAACTATTAATACAATTTTTCTTTCATTCAGTACGTACACATTAATACATACAAATACACATAAAAATACATAATATAACCTATTATAGACTTTTATTTTATTTTATAGATACTGGCATTAATTGGCGTACAAGTACTAAATATAATAAAGGGGGTATCGGAATAAGGGTATCATATTCTCTAATTTAAATGAAATTTTTACATAATGTAAAAGAATATAAATAATGATTAATGATATAAAAATTATTGTTATACAATAACAGGAAAACGTACAATTGTAGTTTAACTAAACATCATATTAAGCGTTATAACTTTTAAACAAAATAAGGTACTCAAATTCTGTTTTCATAATTTAAATA